GTGTGTGTGTGTGTGTGTGTGTGTGTGCATGCGTGCGCGCGTGTGTGTGTGCGTGTTTGTGTGTACGTGTGCTTGTGTGTGTGCGTGTTTGTGTATGTTTTTGTGTGTGTGCGTGTGTATGCGTGTGTGTGTGCGCATCATTTTTGATGTTGTTGACGTCAGTTAGTTGTCTAGCTGCATATGCTATTCATGTGGATGGTATTTGTGATGTATACATTCACAATTACTTCACTGAACAAATCAAATGATATGACATCGTTGTGAAATACATAGAAATCAATACATACAAAAACGCACCCCCGCAAAGACGGGTTTATCGATAACGTGGGTTTAGTTATAGAGCACCAACGTTTATAAACGGGATTCTCTCATAGTAATCGATAGGAAACCTAGGCAATAGAGGAAGAAGGGGAAGTGGCAGAGAAACCTTTAAGAGATAAAGTTGGGGGAGCAGGGATGTTAGCAATCTTTATCTGCATTTACTAGTACCGTATGCTAGTCACCAGGCGGCGCTGCGTGTAGCTTACCAACGGGCATGACGCTGTAATAGAGACGGAATCCTTTCTTGGCGTTTGTCTCGTCAGATTTGAACTGAATCCACATTTTACTCGTTTTATCGCTGAACACGTAAGCCAACGACGAGTTTAGCTTTCCTGGTGAACAACAAATAACATGACAGTTATACATTAGAGCAGGCTCCTGATTAGAGCTATCAGTAAAGTATGGCATTCATATAGACTGTGTTACGCGAAATACGCGAAATAAAATTGTGAGCGTTAAGCATGCCGTGAAATGTGCATTCCCTCCACGTGGGGGCGCCTCTGTACTGTACCTATCATAATGTAGTTATTGGTCCGTGAAGGCTACGTAATTTCCTCTGTTGTTGGTTGAATAGTATACAGTATATGTCCATGTACTATACCCACTAAACTCCCCCGTCATTGCTTGATGATTTAGCTAGCCGCTGTGCAATTATGCATTTACTATCATTATCATTATTGTTATCACATATGATATATGTACATAACATATATAAGTGAGCTCTAACTACATCAAGAGTACATGAATAGAGAGTGAACGCCTACATGAAAATAGATCTATATAATCACGCATTCCTGATCACGTGGCGGTTTATAGATATTCATCAGAAGTAGAGTATTTTTGATTGCATGACAACCGTCTCGTGCTTAGTGGCTATAATACCCAATAATCGCAGCATACACCTACACAACCAGGTCTCCGTACCTGCGCATGCGCACAGCTGATGGCACGTCGTTGTTCGCTCACGTTGAAGAGAGAAGAGCAACAGCAAATCCTATATATATATTTCGTACACCGAATTAATTTAGTTGTATGTGTCTGCGTTCAACCCTCTCGCGTGTTTGTATATGATCGTAGCAGTATTTTGAGCTCGTTTATCAGTCTCTTTATAGAAGTATAATAAAATAGATAAAACCATGAAGGCACGCTATCATGTATAACATGAACGTATCTACACTAGCGTTAGTATAGATATATTCACGTGCATATAGCGCATCCACTGATCAACATACGATAATGTGACGTCGTACTGTATTAATACAGCGCATTGTCATGGTATATAGATCAGTGAGTGTATTTGCGTATCGTTCGTGAATTTGTATGTGTCAGGAACGCCACCTGGCGGGAGCGCCACCTAGCGGGAGCGCCACCTGGCGGGAGCACCACCTAGTGGAAGCGCCACCTGGCGGGAGCGTCACGTGACGGTAGGCCACCTGGCGGGAATGCTTCGTGGCGGCGGCGCCGCTGCTCGATCATATGACGTTGGTGCCGGTGGAGGAGAGTTGACTGGCGAGGGACAGCTGACTGCGGCTCTTGCTGGACTTCACGGACGGCGTGTCGTCCGTCTTTTCCTCATCCCCCCCGCGCTCCGCGGCGGCGGCGGCGGCGGCGGCAGCGGCGGCGTCGGCCATCTCGCGCTTAGCTCTCAGCTCCTCCAGGATCATCGTCGGATTCTCGTAGTGGTTGCTCGAGCCGTCGAACTGTGACGTCATGCTGTGACGTACAAACACGTGATGATTGTCATTAACCTTCTCTGTGATAACGTGGGGTCAGACTGTGGGGGGGGGGCATTCCCTGACGTGTAAACATTCAATTATTACATCTGAGTGTTAATCAGATAAGATATAAAGATATATATAAGATATAATATCGGTATCAAAAAAGATATTTCTAAGCCCAACGTATTTTTGAAGAATTAGACAAGATGTTAACTAACTTATGGTAATAAAGACGCATGAAAATCAAAATCCCTCGTACAGTTACAGCCATAGAAATAATATGCTAGTAAGGATATCTCTATACATTTCTATGGTTACTACAGTGAAGCAAGGTTGAGAGAGATACAGAGAGAGAGACAGACAGAGAGAGAGAGAGAGAGAGAGAGAGAGAGAGAGAGAGAGAGAGAGAGAGAGAGAGAGAGAGAGAGAGAGAGAGAGAGAGAGAGAGAGACAGAGAGAGAGCGAAACAGAGACAGAGAGAAAGAGGGAGACAGAGAGAGAATATACTATATATATTATATTATTTTATATATATATATATCAATAACTAGCAAGAACTTTATTGAATTACACCTACATTTGTGATTCCCTGCTATGTACATATAATCATTACATGTGATAACAATACATGTCAATGATAGTAAATGCCATAATTGCAGGAAAAACAGCGCTAGCTAAATCATCGCAAGCAATGACGGGGAGTTAGTGGGTATAGTAAATGGGACATATACTGTATACTATTCAACCACAACAT